TGAAGGGAAGGGAATGTGTGCTGGTAGGATTATAATTTAAGAAAGAAAGCAGAAAAGCCCAGACCAACCCAGCTATGTTTGTTCACTGCTGTTGACCAAGGTGCTGGTTGGAAGCACCATAAACTAGCTATTTTAGTACCAAGCATTTTCTGTTTATAAAGGCCATGTGATAAGTTTATGGTGTTTAGGCTCAGTGGGGAAAATCTGGTGTATTGCAGGAATACTGTGGGATATCTTCTGGAGGGAAATTTATCCCCTGTAATCGACTGCTCTGTGTTTCAAAGCCCCTTCCCCCCCACAAAAAAGTTTGCTTAGCGGAAATATTTGCTTTTTTTCTTTTTTTATTTTGTTTGTTGTTTTAGTATTTACCAGAGTGAATGAGTCATCTCCAGAGGAAGTCTTTTACTAGGATCCAAAAAAGGAGTTATCTCTGTAGAGACTGAGGGAAGTGACCATTGACCTTGGGGCTAATCCCTGAGCAAGCCACCTCCAAAAAGCCAGAATGGGAGTCCTCTCTCTCCGGGAAGCAATTGGCTGGCTGCTTTCTATCAAATCCCTTTACTTCAGTAAGCAGTAAATTGACATTGTATTTTCTGACTTCCTGTAGGTCTTCTCCTGAAATGGTGCTCTTTCCACACCACAGAAATAGCTAATAGTGGAATCAATGTGGCTTTTGGACTGGTGAGGATGGATCTGGATTGGTTTGGATGGCAGGGGTTTGTGGAGGGCTTTTTGTGGAACGTGCTGCTGAGACCGCGTGGTTCTAACCAAGGGATGGTGTCACAGGGAGTTATAAATTTGCAGAAGTCTCTTTATTTTAATAGCTGTTTGTTGAATAACTCTTTTCTTTGAGCTCTGGACAGCTCTGAGATTCTTCCCTTCCCATCCGACATAAAAATTTAATCATACAGAAGAGATGCAATCTATCAATGCATCACATTAAAGACATGGGCAGATGGTGGTTGCTTTTGCTCTGTTCAGAGTAGCCTCTGCACAGAACTATATCTGGAAAGATGGAGCATCATTTTGATAGACATGAAATTTTGTCTTTGCAAGAATGATATATCATAAATGAAACTTGAGCTAGGCTGTTTTTTTACTGCTATTCACATTGTTCCAAGTACCATAATTGCTAATGGTTCTCTGGATGAAAACAGCAATGGAGACTATTGGAAGCTCTAATTGGAAGGGAAATCCATACTGGCGAACCAGACCTGAATCCTTTCCAACTTTGCAGCAGCTCTGATCCAAATCTCAATTTACTGGTCCAAGCCCAAGAGTAAGTTCTTGTCAGTGTGGAGTACTGTTATGAGGCTGCCCAGAACATAAAGGAGTAACTTTTTACTTTCAGAAAATGCAAGCATCTTCATTGGTTACAATTATCCAGTATGCTTATTGTTAAGCTGAAAAAGCATCTCTCCAGCAGAAGGGTGGCCTGTGACAGTGGCATCTTGCTCCTGTGTCGACTTGCACTGGTGTTTGCCTCAAAGCTATTTGAGCAAAGCTGCATTGGCTTCGTGTATAGGAAAAGCAAGGACAACGTATTAGCAAAATAATTCCCACAGCAATATGACAGGGAGGTTTTCAGAGTAGAGCTCCAGTGATTTATCACTAGGACCTGCAGCTCTGCTTCCCGTAGGAGCTATCAAGAGTGAAACATCCACCTAGAAACATGGAATTATTCTAGAACAAAAATGCTTAGGAGAAAGAGGGATAAACTTGATCTGTAGGCCTGGAGGGTGCAGCCATCTGAGGCTGCTGCATGGTGTAACAAATCCAAGTATGTATTAGAAGAAATGATTTTTTTGCCTCTGTTCCCCCCGCACTGCAATGGTTATGCACATTCTCATTTATTCATGGTCGATTTAGGCCCATTTGTGATATTGCAAGCATTGGCCTTCACCAATACATTAAGGGGGGAAAGAGCTCTTGAAACAAAAGAGCAGTCAAGTTTTCCCCTCAACTTTCATTTTAGCAGGCTTGAACAACCTTTTTCAGTCTACTCTCGTACTATAGGTTAGCTCTGCCTACGCTCGTCCTTCAAATCCTTCTCTATATCTCTTCAAGGCAGAGTTTTTCTTAGACATGTGCAGCCAGAGCTGTACAGATGGGATGTCCTGTGCACTTTGTGCAGTGGCTTACATCTTCTCTTACCTCTAATGCAGACCGTGACTATGTTTGCCTTTTTACACTTGTGTCAAATAGTTATCCTGCTAAAGGCTAGTATAGATTTTCTTCCGTCCCTCTTATTAAATGATGAGTTCCTAGCTTGAATCCAAATTGATTAATCTCTATATACAGGTCTATGTGCCTGTGGGCTGACATGTTTCCTCAAGATCTTACAGCAAAAAAAAAACAAAAACAAAAAAACTGCTTGTTTGCCTCTGCTTCCTTAGGGGGATTTCTTTCTCCTGGAATTGGAAGAAAGGGACTTCTGCAGGACCCTGCTCTCCCTGCTCACCTTAAGGCTGACCCTTTTCTCTTGAAAGTGTTTTATAACACCATTCTTTCGATCTTAAAGCTTCTGGCCAGTAGAAGTAAGTTTTGCATCCGACAAAAATAACGCTGAGGCACCTCTAGGCTGGCCCTTATTTGCCACACTCTTCTGTGTGTGAGAGAGAAAAATTATTTAACCTATTGTGTTGTTTTCCTGCTTTTTCCTTCAAACAGCCATGTTTGACATACAGATATGACATACAGTCATATCAATGTATGCATAAAGGAAGTGCTAACATCCCCTAATTAGTATGTCCCAGACACCAACACTTGCAGAATTTACTACACTGCTATTTACTTCCCTAGAATTGTGAGCTCCTGCCCACTCTTTTAGACACTTGACAAAGGTAAGTTGCTTTTTTCCCCTCCCTTGAAAATGCCAACTGTAAAGAATTTACTGTGCCTCCTCATTTTCCTCCTTGTCCTAGAGATCTGCAGAAGGGACCATACCTGCCTTTCCAGTGCTCTAAGCCAGAGACATCTTTTCTCTCTTAGTCTATAAGATAAAAATAAGTAAAGAAGTGAAGGATGAAAACCTGCTTTTGCTTGCTGCAGGTCACAGCTATCGTATCTTTGCATCAGTAATGCAGTACAATGACAGGGGTGCTGGGTGATCCTTACAGAGTTGTTTTGTGGCTTTTCACTGTGCATTTATAAATTAACATGATACTTCTGGGCCCAGCATCTTTTTTATCCTTTCTGCAATGTGATTCCAGGGAAATGTTTCCCTCTCCTGAAGCTCTGGTTGAGTGTTACATTCTTTTTCAGTGCGGTGTCTAGGACAGTCACTACAGTATTAATACTTCTCTACTGCAATACAGTGGTGCGTTCAAGAGCTGGGGCCCAGGTGGGATGAAGTTAGTACCTGCTGCTCTCACTTGTTCTCTACCTTATCCCTTAATGTCATTCTGAGATGGTTCCTCGATGCTACTCAGGAGATGCCCTCTCTGGGAGCAAAAGGCCAGTCAAACACAGGGTGAGATAAAGTAGCAAAGCATTGGGTTTGCTGATGCTCTTCTAGGAATCGACAGCGATTTTTATCAGGGACCCGTGTATGTAATGTCTCTAATACCAAATGCAGCCTGTGAGCTTGAGGCAGGCAGACTGCACTTCCTCTGTTAAGATACTTCCGTTGCCTGTGACCATGCAAAGCTAGCTGGGCCTGTGTCCAGTGCTATGATTTATCCTGGGGCACATCCCAGGTTTTAACCTCTGGCAATAAGAAAGGACTGCTGATCTGCTAGGTCTCGCTCCTGAATAACTGAATGCACTGCATTGGGAAAGGCTGACTTATTTGGCGATTACAGTATCAACATGAATAGAAATAGGATGGTACAGGCCAGAATAGGAGCAGATGCCTCCCAGCATGTTGTGCACCTGCATTTATTATATGATACCCCAAAGCCCCTAATGCTATACCAGGCACAATACAGGCAATTCTTCCATGAATGCAAATATTGAAGGCAGCTACATGGAGGGCAGGATGCAGGAAGGAACAATATAATGATAACATGCTTTCCTGTGGGTGTTACAAAAGACAGGAGTTCTTTTGGAGGGCCATGTGTTTGCCTCTGAAGGGAGGGAGGGTTTCAGTAGAGGGACAGAGACTTAGGGAACAAGAACAGAAAGCTTATTGCATGAGGCCTGAACAGGAGATGAGGCTCACCTGAGCCATGTGGCATTTGTATGCCCCTGTTTTGCGGCTAAGAAGCAGCTGGTACCTAAGAGGCAGTGCAGGTGCTGTGCTTGCCACAGCTCCAAAATGCAGAAATGCACAGAAGCAGGCAGATTTTTTTTTATCATCTAACTCTGTGATCAGCAATAGCCCTTTAAGGATGAGCAAGACATGTGGTGTGGACACTGCCCAGTGCAAACCCAGCAACCACGTGAACTCTACCCAAGGTGGGCAGTGCCAGACTGGCATAGAAAAATCCTCCTGATGGCAGAGACAATCTGATCGAATTCGCTGGCTCCCATCCACTCTGCTCCCCTTTCCCTTGGGATCAATGAGAAGAACTTGTCTCCAAGCACAAGATTTTGGGGGTATGTGTCACAGTAAGAGATGCTTGTCAGCAAAAAGACCGTCTCACCATGACTTCTCTCTGGGGTGCTGCAATGTCGAGTGAAGTAACCTTCCCAGCTGGCTCTGGTGCAGAGGTATTTTGGCTTACTTTGTTATTGCTGAGAGCTCTCTCTAGTGAGCTCTCTCTGTCTTTCTGTATTCCTGATCTCTGGCTCTCATCAGTCCTCTTTTTCTTGGGCTGGGATGTATTCCGTCTTTAATGGATGAGGAAGTAATACGCAATGAGGAAACTCTCGTCTGTGCATCAGGGAGAGAATTATTGACTGAGTGCTGAGCAGTCAAGTTATTGATTCAAACCATAGCCCAATCTCTCTGTCTGCCGCTCGGTGTGGCTGGTTACGTCCCTTCTGGTTCATTGCATTTAATCGGATTCCCTGAGCCGCCAAGCAGAGGGGGAGAGTTAGGACCAAATCCGGCTATAATGTTCACTTCAAAATCCAACTCCGTATCCCCTTCTCCATCCATGGAACAGGCAGATTCAGATGCTCTGGACATCAGCACCAAAGTGCAGCTGTACGGAGTGCTCTGGAAGAGACCCTTTGGGAGGCAGTCAGCCAAATGGTCCAGGAGGTAAGTCGCGGTCGATGAGGGACGCTCGGGGAAACTACGAAGCCCAAGGGTGCTGGGCTGGGTTAGCTAAGCGTTCAGACTCTCTTCGAGTGTGACTAGCCAGGCAGAGCCATGGGGTGAAACTTTGGGCATAGCTTCCCTGCTGGTCTGCATCCCTTTTACACACACTGCACCACAGTGTGCTTTCTTCTGTATCTGCCCAGTCCCTGTGCCGTGGGCACTTCAGGATGGGGACAGAGACTCGCTGCCTCCCCTGCACAATCACCCTGCAATTGTTTCAGGGAAGAAGGAGCATCAGCTCTTATAGTTTGAACAAAGTCAAGCAGTTTGGGAGCATTAATGCTTATTAAAGCTCTTTGAATTTTTTGGTTGTGAGATGGTTAAGCTGAACTGACTCTGTGCATGTGGGAGTGTGTGTGTGTGTGTGCGCGCGTGTGTGCACGGTCTGCAGCAGTTTGTGGACCAGCCTCAGTTCTGCCTTGCTGTGTGGCGTTGAGGGCAAACTGTGAACAGCAATGGCAGGCTCTCTTCCCCTGGGGTGAAGGTGGCTCTGAATTCACTCCCATCTGGTGCCAGGAAGTTGTAAACTGCCAATGTGTTGTGTAACCGCAGCCAGGAAGTTTTGGGGGTAAAAGCATTTGTTGCCGTATTATCAAAGGCAGACGTATGTTCTGTGAGACTAAAGTAATGGGTCAGTCTGAGGTTTTAAGTTAGTGTAATTTCTGTATGAGGTTCACTGAATCTCACAGAAAAGTTTTCCAGTGATTGTCAAACGACGGGACGTGGATGCTTGCATGGAAACGTTTTACAGTGCTTTCTCATTGCTCAGTTGGGGTACGTGATGCAACAGATGAAACCTTCCGGCATCCTTGGGAGGCAGAGAGGTGTCACTGCTGACAGATATCATTGACAAATGATTCAGTTACAGGACTAATAGCCAAGAGACTTGTATTTTCACTCTGCCACTGTCAAAGAGATATTTTGTGACCCAGGATTCATTATGCTCACCTATAAAAGTGGTGCTTAACCACCTATGGTGGTAGTTTGGTATCTGCAGATGGAAAAAGTGCACCAAAAAAGCAAAGCAATGTTGTTTCCTTTTTTCCCCACCTTTCCACTGGGGAAAACGCACAAATGAGTAATTAAAACAAGGCAATACAGGAAGCCTGAGCTAACTCTGGAGCTGGAAAGCAGTGTAGCCTTTGTAGCAAAGCACGTCTCAAGGTTTTTCAGAAAAATAGAACAACCCGCATGTGAACAATGTGCTGTTGGCACAGCCTTTTCTGGGTATCTTTATGCTGTGGTCTACAGTGTAGCCATGAGGAATCAAACGCAGTTCTGAATCCAGCTTTTCCAGCTCAGCTCTGTGTAGTAATCACAATACTTCCCACCTAGATAGGTAGAGATGGCATAGCCTGAAAAATAGTTAGATGCTGCTTGGGAAGTGGTTTTGCTTGTTGCCATCTTTGTCCTGCTTGCAGGTTGTATTCTGTGCTGTTCTTTTTTTCCTGCAAATGGTGGCCTTTTTTCCCGCAGGAGAGAATTTGTGCTGGTGTTCCCCACTCAGCTCAGAAGCACTGATATTTACATGAATTATGTCTGGAAAGTAGTATGACTGTGTTACTGAAAAGCAGTGGACAGAATAACAGAGGGGAAGGTGTCCTCCATGGCAAATTGTGTTCTTAAAAGGCAAAAATCTTCTTTCTAATGAAAATTTCTTACAGGCAAATGGCCCAGCTCTGCTCTTTCTATGTCATTATTTATTTAGCGCTGTTCTATTCCTAGAAGTCACCCTCGTCCTCAGCAAATTGTAAATATTTTAGTGATGCAGGTGGAAAGAGGTGGGGGAGGTGGCCGTGGGGCAGAGATGAGCTGGAACATTAGCTGCAACTAAAGCAAATGAGGGTCCGGGGGAATGGGGGAAAGGCCAGCATTTGCTAAGTGGGAGACAGAGACAGGGAATTTGTAGGGTTGGGAAGGAAGTGGCTTCCAGATTGAAAAGACTGGGGAACAGGAGAAACAAAGAGGAGAGGGACAGCTGGTGCCAGGGAAAAAAATAGGTTGGTCCTGTCAGTAAAGCAAGTGGGGGTATGGGCACGGGACTGGCAGCGTGCATGAGTGGTGGCGCCCTCCAAACATACTGTCGTGAGAGGCCAGAGAAGGTCTCAATGTACCTGGGGGTGTCACTATACACGTGTGTATTTAGGCTGTTCTGTAACCTCAGCTTTTTGCCCTGAGCTCTTGAAAGCCAACAGGCTGGTAAACACAGTGGCCTCCAGGCCCTGATGGGCTGTGGCTGTGTGTGCACATTGGTGCCGATTGCAGGGTGCTGCCTTTCTGACCCATCGTGTCTTGGGACACACAGTGGGCGTTTGGCCCTTGTGCTTCTGCCGCCTGAAGAAGCAGCTCTTGAGTATTCTCTGACACTCAGCAGTTCCCTCTGAAACAAGTGATTTTTGGGAGGAGGAGGGAGGCAGAAAGGATTTGCTGTAATGTCAAAAATTTTGCATATTAGCATCAATCAATCAATCGATGGGGGCAGAAAGGCACAGCTGGTCAAATGCATTATTTTATGAAAAGGGGAAGAGATGTTTCCCACTGTGGTTACATTAAGGAAAAAAATTGACTACTGCTAGATAGAGGTGAGGATCTGATCTCTCAAGCAATGTAGGTTTTGTCCTGAAATCTTGGATTATTATTTTTTATGTATTTAGTATTTAGGGGTACAATCTTAAATGGGGAAGAATTTAGAAATAGAAAATAGAAGTACTCCCTGCCCTGAGGAAAGTCTGTCCAAGCTAAGAGACGTAGAAGAGCACGTAACTGGAGGATAGATCACATCAGGGCATCAGTTATGTGGATAAGTCTGCATGGCTATTCAAGATGCATCATCCTTACTGGCTTGGTCCTATTTAATTGGCTGTAGTAACAGTGCAACTGGAGACCCTGAGAAAGAAAACAAGCGTTTAAAGGAAGGATGGAGGCCGACTGGATAACAAACCGGGTAAAAAAAAAAAAAAAGAAGTCCAGGCACAGGGTCCAATGCTTTGTTGGTAGGCTTTGGGATTTAGCAGCAGCCAAGGGCATGTAAGGGGCAGGGAGGGGCAGCAGAGCCTTGTTTTAGTCAGGTCAAGGTGTGATAGCACCTGTGAGGACCACAAGACTTGATGTGAAGCAGTTGTGTTTGGAACACTTTCAGTCCTTTCCCTTGCCCACAAAATGATCTGTCTTGCAGCCTAAGCTTTTTGGGCTGCCTCAGATACTGACCAAGAGTGTGGCGGGTGTTTCTGGCACTGGACTGAGGTGGCTGTGTTTTTTTTGTCCAGGGCTGATATCTGAACACGCTGCCTTTTGCAGCATTATTTTGAAATGCTATTAGCAGCATCTTCTCTCTCCAAGAGAAGTTGTTCTGTTCCTTGGTTAATTTATTTTTCTTTTTTCCGTGTAAAGTAGTGTCCTTTCAAGGGAGAAGCAGCTATCTTTCAAGCTTGATGGTGCTTTTGACCAGTGCAGTCTAAGTTTGGGTTACTGCTGGAGGGGCTTTGGAAAGCTGTATTCTCTGTCCTTGATTATGGTCCTCCCCTCACCCCAAAGCTATATCCCACTCTTCCTCCCAATACAGCAAGCAGCTCAGCCTCTTTCTTCTGCAAATGTTGCAACAGCAATGGCATCGGACTGGCATGGAGCCAGGAAGGAAACGCACAAGGTACGTACCTACACTGAGTGTGGCATTAACAGGGCAGCGCTGTAGCTTTTCAGGTAGGAAGTGACATATATATCCCTGTGTCCTGAGTAATTCCAGCCTCACATAGAGATTTCATGCTCTGGGCTGACTGTTACCACTCAGGTTCGAGACTTGGGGGCGATGGGGGGCAGTTGCATGAGGACATCTGCTCAGCGGTCAGCCATAGTCAGAAAAGCAAGGTGAGTGTGAGGAATGAAAAGGAAAAGATTAGAGAACAAAACACAAAGCATGCTTATGAGTAAATCCATCAGAGATGCCAGGTTGCTGCTGAGAGGAAAGAAACGCAGTACAGTCAAGAGAGAAATTTTATCTTGTCCTGGACCAGACCTGGCTGTATCATTGCTAAGCATGCATGTAACCTTGCTTTCCAGCAGAACGGCTGCCAACAGTCACTGAACCTGTCGTAGGACAGGTAGAAGGGATAATTGCTTAGGGCTGTCCTCTGCTGTAAAAAGGACAGAAAACACGTAGCACGGTTCCTGCCGAAGAGCACAGCGTGTGC